GCATCGTTTCCATCATCATCACCATAATCATCATCATCATCATCGTCGTCAACATGATTATCATCATCCTGATCCCCATCCTGCCCGCAACAGCCAATATCAAAACCACCAGCCGTCATCATCATTATCATCATAATCATCATCATCATCGTCAGCATCATCATCGTGAGCAGCCGCACATGCATCAGCATCATCATCATCAGCGTCGGCATCATCATCCTCATCATCAACGTCATCATCGTGATCAGCATCCCAACCACCACCATCATCATCACCATCATCATCATCACCGTCATCGTCAGCATCACTATCAGCACTAATATCATCATCATCATCATCATCATCATCATCATCATCACAATACTCATCATCAGCATCATCAGCAGCAGCATCAGCATCCTCATCCTCGTCATCATCATCAGCAGCATGATCATCAGCACTGTCATCCTCATCCTCATCCTCCACAACCTCATCGTCGTTATCCTCATCATCATCCTCACCATCGTCATAATCAGCAGCAGCTGCATCAGCATCATCATCTTCATCATCATCATCCTCATCATCAACATCGTCGTCATACTCCTCCCCATCCTCATCCTCATCCTCATCCTCACCATCATCAGCATCGTCAGCCTCTTCCTCACCATCATCATCATCCTCATCATCGACGTCGTCATCATCAGCGCCATCATCAGCAGCATCAGCATAATTAATATCATCCGTACTATCAACACCATCGTCATCAGCATCATCATCACCATCATCATCACCAGCATCATCATGATCAACACCATCCCCGTCTTCATCCTGATCGTCATCATCAGCATCAGAAGCATCGTCGTCAACGCCATTATCATCATCATCATCAACAGCAGCACCGGCAGCATCAGCATCCTCATCCTCATCAGCATCCTCCTAATCAGCATCAACAGCAGCAGGACCATCACCAGCATCGGAATCATCATTGTCATCGTCATCGTCAGCATCATCACCATCATCAGCGTCATCATCATCATCATCATCATCATCATCATCATCATCATCTTCATCATGATCCTTCTCCTCTTCCTTCTCATCCTCATCCTCATTATCATCCTCATCCTGATCATCTTCCATATTAGCATACCACCGTGCCAGTATCATCATCATCATCATCATCATCATCATCATCACCATCACCATTACCACCATCACCATCATCATCATCATCATCATCATCATCATCATTTGCATCCGCATCATCGTCCTCATTCTCGTCTTCACAATCCACATCCACATCATCATCAGCAGCATCATCAGCCTCATCGTCATCACCATCATCAGCCTCATCCTCATCGTCCTAATACTCACCACCATTCCATCATCATCATCCTCATCATCCCCATCATCATCATTATTATCAGCCTCATCAGCATCAGTATCGTCATCGTTCCAATCATTAGCATCGTCTGCACCATCATCGCCATCATCATCATCAGCATCATCCTCTTCATCATGATCCTCATCATCATAATTATCATTATCAACACCATCAGCATCGATGTCAGCATCATCAGCATCATCATATCTTTTGTTATCGTCACACGCATCATCAGCATCATCGGCATCATCATCGTCATCAACATCCTCTTGATCATAACCGTCATCACCATCATCTGCGGCGGCCACGGCCGCGGCGCGAGGCATGCTTAGCCGCGCCGAGGAACAGATGGCGGGATGCCGAGGAACAGATCGCCGAGGCGCTGAGGTGAGCGGTGGGACCAGCAGAGCAGCGGCAGCGGGCCGCAGCTGCTGCCGGCACATCGCCTCGAGCGCGAGCCAGAAGCGCCCCGCGCGCGTCTCTCCCCCTCCCCATCCGCGGTGCGTTAGGTCCCCTCGGGCCGTGCGCGCCGCCTCCGTGTTTGGGCGGCCCACCCTTGGCTCCCGTTCCTCGTCGGCTGGATTCGGCTTGGACTTCTGGGGCGCTTGGGCCCAAATGAGCCCTGAGGCGCCGCCGTGGGCCACGTCAAAGGTCGAACGAGCCCTGAGGCGCTGTCTTGGCCGAGCATATCAATCCTGCACCAATTCGCTCCCGACCCCTGCCAACTGGTACCCGATCATAATCATCATCATCATCATCATCATCATCATCATCATCATCATCATCATCAGCAGCATCATAATCGTCATCATCAGCATCGTCAGCATCATCATCACCATTATCATCATCATCAGCAGCAGCAGCATCATCAGCATCGTCATCATGATCATCCTCATCCTCATCATCATCAGCAGCATCCTCATCATCACCATCATCAGCCGCATCATCATCATAAACATCATCTTCAGCAGCAGCACCCTCAGCAGCGTCATCATCCTCATCATCAGCATCATCATCAGCAGCATCATAATCGTCATCATCAGCATCGTCAGCATCATCATCACCATTATCATCATCATCAGCAGCAGCAGCATCATCAGCATCGTCATCATGATCATCCTCATCCTCATCATCATCAGCAGCATCCTCATCATCACCATCATCAGCCGCATCATCATCATAATCACCATCATCTTCAGCAGCAGCACCGTCATCAGCAGCGTCATCATCCTCATCATCATAAGCATCATCTTCAGCAGCAGCACCATCAGCAGCGTCATCATCCTCATCATCAGCATCATCATCACCATCATCATGACCACCATCATCAGTTACAACACAACAACAACATCCGCATCATCAACATCATCAACATCAGCACCAGCACCAACATCATCAGCGCGAGCGTCATCAGCAACATCAGCGTCACCATCATCCTCATCAGCATCAGCATGAGAACCATCAGTACACGATCATCAGCATCATGAGCAGCATCACTATCAACAATAGCATTAACATCATCAGCATCATCATCAGCACTAGCATCGTCATGACCATCATCATTATCATCATCATCAGCAACAGCATCATGATCAGCATCGTCGTCATCGTCATCGACATCGTCATCATCACGATCAGCATCGCCATGATCATACCATCATCATGTTCATCATCATCATCATCATCAGCAGCATCATCATAATCAGTATCTTTCTCAGCGACACCATCATAATCATCATCATCATCATCATCATCATCATCATCGTCATCATCATCATCATCATCATCATCATCATCGTTACCATCACCATCAACCGCATCACCAGCATCGGCACCATCATCGACACAATCACCATATACATCACAACCAGCGATGTCATCACCAGCAACAGCAACCTCATCATCATCACATGCATCAACAACATTACCATCACTAGAGTCATACGTAGCATCAATGTCATCATCAGTATCTGCAGTACCACCATTATCAGAATCACCAACAACATCTTCATCACCATCAGCATCAGCATCAGCATCATCACCATCATTATCGCCATGGCCATCACCGTGGCCATAATTGCCATCATCACCATTGTCATCAGTATCATCAGCAGCATCATCATCATCATAATCATCATCAACGCCAACGTCGTAATCCTCGTCATCAGCATCAACCGCATCATCATCATAACCAGCATCACCAGCAGCATCATCCTCATCAGTAGCATCATCATCCTCGTCACTATAATTACCATTAGCACTAACATCATCATACTCGTCATAGAAAGCAATTGCATCATAATCATCTGGAGCGGCATCAACAGCAACCTCATGAACACAATAAACATCTTCATTATGATCGTCATCCTCCGCCTCATCATCATCAGCAGCATCGAAGTCATCGTCGTCACCATTGTAACCATTCTCATCAGCATCACCATTCATATCATCCTCATCATCCCCATCATCATCCTACTCATCCTCATCATCCTCATCATCCTGGCCATCAACACCATCACCATCATCATCACCACCATCACCATCAACCCCTCCGTCTGCCTCCAATTCCTGTTCCTTATGACTAACTCCTCCCTAGCGCACTCCGAGGACAGGTGTAAGGGCGGGCTGGACGTTTCGCCTAGACTCCCTTACCAATTATGAGCCTCAAGCTTCACAGATGTAGGGCGGGTGGTTTCAAAATGTGGCTCTCGCCTTAGCGTCACACACAGTCCCTTGAAAAATGTGCAATCATTGATGACAGGTCGTTTTCAACATGTGAGTCTCGCCATAGATCCTCGCACATTCGTTTGAAGAACAGGCAAGAGTTACAAATTTTCACAGGAGCTCCTTTTCAAAATATGTCTCTCGCCTCAGCGCCGCGCTTAAAACTCTGCACGATGAGAACTGAACATCATGGCCCACGTACTAGAAATAACGTGTTGCAACGATTCTGGATTGTCAGAGCGCAAAGGTTACGGTCATTCGCGGCGTTCTGGCACGATTCAGAATCGTCAAGTCGCGAAGGTCAGGGTGCTTCGTGGCGTTGATGTCCTACGAACGGTGTTTTGGCACGCATCAGTACTTTCACACGGCTGTCCCCGAACGAGGCGCTTCCCTCGATGGAAAGAGATCCTTGTCGGGGCCTGTGAAGAGGAAGCCTGAGGGAGAGTGGATTCCAACATCCTTGGTGAGTCTTGGGTCACACTGGTCCGCCCTCCTCCTCCTCCTCCTAATCCTCCTCCTCGGGGATCTTCTGACCCGGGTCAATCCAGACCCGGGTCAGCAAGAAACCAAAAACTGCAATGCAGGAAAAAAACTGCAACGCAGATCTTCGCAAACCCGGGTCAACCAATATGCGCGGCCGCCTCGCGGCCACGAGCGGCTCGCGAACCCGGGTCAGCCAGAGGGGGTCTTCGCAGGATCCTGCAGGATCTGGCGCCCTGGCTGACCCCCGTTTGCATTGACCCCCGTCTCAAGGCTCCCGACCTCCTCCTCCTCCTCCTCCTCCTCCTCCTCCTCCTCCCCTCCTCCTCCTCCTCCTCCTCCCTCCTCCTCCTCCTCCTCCTAATCCTCCTCCTCCTAACCCTCCTCCTCCTAATCCTCCTCCTCCTCCTCCTAATCCTCCTCCTCCTTGCCAAGCCTGTCCGGGCTGCTTGCCGCGGCGGTCCACCACGCTCACCCGGACCAGCAGCGGCGGCCCCAGAGGCTCCATCGCCGCGCGGACCGGGCCCGGGGGAGGCCACGCGCAGCGGCCCCCGAGGAGAGGAGGGGGCCCGCCTGCCCGCGGCGCAGGGAGGGAGACGGGAGAGACTGTCAGAGGACGACGCCTTCCCTGGCGGGGCCCTGGGACACACAAGTAAACACACACACACACACACAAATAAAGCTATTCCCCATGTTCTTCCATTTTTTTGTTTGGGATGCTCGTCTTCCCCCCCCACTTCCCATCTGTTCCGAGATCTTTCTGGGGGATCGACGATGAATTGAGTCTGTGTGTTTTTTTCCCTCCTGACTGTCCAAGGACGACGCCTTCCCGGCAAGCAGAGCGAGGCACGGCGAGACGGGCCACGGCGGCCGCGACCCGCTGCCCCGCAGAGACGGCCTGGTGCGTGGGGTGGCAGGTTCGAAGGGAGGAGGAGCTACGAGGAGGAGGAGCCACGAGGAGCTACGAAGAGGAGGAGGAGGAGGAGGACGAGGAGGAGGAGGAGGAGGGAGGCGTCGGGCCGGCCGGAGCCGATACCGAAGCGGATGGATCGGATCGAAGAAGGACCTCGCCGAGGGACGGGGAAATGGGCGGCAACGACACCGGGGGGACTCCCCCTCCTCCCCCCTCCTCCCCCCTCCCTCTCCCGTCCCTCTTTCCTCCCTCCTCCTCCCTCCTCCCTTCCCTTTTCGCCCCCCTTGTCTCCTCCCTCCTCCCGCCTCCGTCCCCCCTCCTCCCTCCCCCCCCGTTCCCCTTCCGTCCTCCCTCGTCGCTCCCGCCCCTTTGCCAGGGAGAGCAATCCGGGCCCCAGTCGGGGCATCAACTGCGGGCAAGAGTCATATCCACATCCAGTGCGTCTTGGAGCTCTGGGCTCTCTTCCCCAGAAGCCGGAGGCGCACTGGATACGGATGAATTTGTTCCCCAGAAGGTTTTTGTTGTTTTATCCATTCCAGTGTGGCTCGGCCTTGCGGCACCCCTTCCCAACAAGTCCACGACGCTCTTGATATGGATACAAGTATTGCCCGCATAAATGTCCCCCGCTAGCTTTGCCCCTGATGTGGCCAGCAGCGCCGTCGACACGTTCAGAGTCGCACCTCATCTTCCTCTGCCGCCTCGAGCTGCACGAGGCGTCCGCAACTGGTGACGAGGCCAGGAGAAGCGCCGCTCCACTAGTGCTCTAGGCAGCAAAACCCGACGAGCAACGATGCCAGAGTCATCCTCTCCCGCTCCTCCTTCCTGTCTCCCCCATCAAATGTTTCTTCGCCCTGCGTATCACTGCTGCGCTATCCTTATTCTCCTCCTCCCCATCCTGAACCCTACTATCCGCACTCATCCCCTCGTCGTCCTCAGTATCATCACGATCACCATCATCATCATCATCAGCAGCAGCAGCAACATCATCATAATCGTCCTCATCGTCATCGTCGTCATCATCATCGTAATCAGCACCAGACGCGGCAACATTTGCAACATCACCATGATCATCATCATCGTCATCATCATCATCATCACCATCATCATCATCATCATCATCATCATCATCATCACCCAATGTCATCATCGACACCATCAACACAATTATCAGCACCGCCACCACCACAAGCGTCATCATCATCGTCGTCATCATCGGCATCCCCACCGCCATCACCAGAATGCCCATCATCATCAGAGTCACCAGTATCATCATAATCATAACGACCACCACCATCCATCACCACCATCATCATAATCAGCATCGTCATCATCCTCATCAGCATCAGCATCACCATCATCATCATCACCATCACCATTATCATAAATTTTCCCTATTTACATCATCAACATAATCGACACGGCCTCCTGCTCACTCTTCAACCCTCTTTCCACATTCCACCCACCGCCAATGTTTCCCTCCCCCCCCTCCCCTCCTCCTCCTCCGCCCGTCACCACTTGCTCTCATCCTCCTTGCTATCCCGTGTTGTTCCCTGCCTCTCCTGGCCGTCCTGCTCCAGGTCCTGCTCATCGTGCCTATTGATACCGTTCGAGCTTCTAGTTCGGGGTCCACGAGGGAACCCAATGCGCGGCCGCCCCAGTCTTGGTCACATCGTCTAAGGCAGTTGTCTCCTGGATGGACGTGATCGTAGTGGGTCGGTCAAAGAACACGTCGCCCGTCCTCTCTCTCCTCCCCCTCCTCGTCCTCCTCGTCCTCAGCGCCCTTCTCCTCCTCATCATCCTCCTCCTGTTCCACACTCCCCTGCTCCACATCCATCCCTTTCCTGATAAGTGGCCCCTCCCTGCCGCACCCCGCGGCGTGTCGGTAGGGCGGGCCCGGCGTTTCGCCGGAGACTTCCGCACGGCTGCGGGCCCCGAGTCTCAAAAGCTGCACCAGCTTCACGGAGAGAGGCGGGTCGCTTTCGAAATGTGGCTCTCGCCGTGGCGCGGCGCACGTTCGCTTTTAGCGTTTACAAAAGCGTCATGGGTGGAGGACGGCAGGGTTCCGAAATGTGGCTCTCGCCTTAGCGCCGCGCACACTCGCCTCGAAAGTTCGCACAGGTGGAGGGCGGGTGATGTTCAAAACGCGGCTCTCGCCTGCGAGGGCGTCAAACACATTCGCCTTAAAAGTGTGCAAGGGCTTCACAGATGGAGGGCGGTCAGTTTCCAAAATGTAGCTCTCAGTTGGGCGCCGCGCACATTCGCCTTAAAACGGTGCCAAAGCTTCACGGATGAAGGGCGGGCGGTGTTCACAATGTGGCTCTCGCCCTAGCGCCGACCACGTTCGTCTTTAGAGTTTCACGTATAGAAGGCGGGCGCTTGTCACACTCAGGTCTTGGTCTTCCCGCCGCGCGCATTCGTATTAGAAAATCGCAAGATCTTCGCGTATGGAAGACGCTCGGAGCGCATCAGCAAAAAGTCCATGCAGTGGCTAGTGCAGGAGCATTAGCGCTGGCTACAGGACAACCGGGAGCAGAAGAGGGCGAAGACCCTCCCATCCCTGGACAGGCTACCACTTGGGTTGCAGGAGCCAAAGGACACAGCAGCCACGGTCTCCCTCAAGGGGCTCCTACTTCGTACGCCGCGCCACTACCGCCCCACCGGCGTAGGCACCACGCTTCCACCGCAAAGGCTATCCGACGACAGGTTCGGTGCAGAGGCGCACCGTAGCAGATGCTACTCGGCCAAGTGCGACTTTTGTCCCCCACACTCCCCATGTCTCGAATGGCCTGCAGGCGCACCCGCCCTGGGGTGCTTCATTTGGCGCCCTGAAGAAGGCGCCGAGTGCAGTGACCGCACAGGCCTCCCCGAGTGGGAAGCAATGCCATCGTTGTGGATCAAAAGACAGTGGAACGCCAGCTGGGCCTGCAGGAGATGCCTGGTGCACATCTGGGACATCGCACTCAGCACACTCAACAAAGTGCTGGACTCATGCTCGAACGAGATATATCCCCCCAGCCCCATCATGGCGGCGACTAGTCAAGGCACTGAGGACTGGGACATCTACGACATGACAGCACACCTCTCCCCTGTCAGCCCAGCTACAAACGAGGGCTCCACCGCAGGCAACCCCCCCGGGTACGGATCGCGGTCAGTGAGGATCCCCAATGACAATGCTACATTCTGGTGCGCCCTGCCTGCGCTCCCACCACCCTACGCACCCCAGCTACCCACGTACACGACCCTCCGCCTGGAGGGGGAGCAGTCGTACAGCCCAGTCCGCAAACTTGTGAAGTTTCTGTTGGCATGGAACCACGAGGTCTACATCCGATGGTCGGCCTTCGGGGGGGAAAGGAACGGAGACAAAGTGGGTGAAGACAGCGATGTGTCGGAATGGTCACACAACCAGCTGTTGCGCTTCCTTGACTCCATCTACGGGGACCAGATCCCCAAGAATGGACATCCCCCACTCATCCCGCGGGACGGGCAGAGAGCTGCCGCAGCCAATGCCATCACGCAGCTGGTTGGGAGGAATGAAAGTTCCAGGAGGCCTGGCGCTCCTTCTCCGACGCGCTCAATAGCCAAAGAGGACAAGACCCCCGGCGGCAGCCGTTGAACACGCTGCACCGCTTCTTATCCCAGAGGAAGGACGACCTCGCAGGGGGAACGCTGGAGTTCCTCGCCGGCGAACGCAACGCCGGGAGCAGCAGCGGCACGGGAGACCACTCCCCCGCCGCCGTCTGGCGCAAGCGCCCACCAGCCTCGGACGGCCGCACCCCCGGCGATGGCCTCCGCCAGCAGCCCCCGGGAGCCACAAAGGCGGGCAAGGAGATAAAGGAGGAACCATCCCCGGACAGGGACGCCCACGGTAAAGGCGACCACCCATTCGAGGTAGACTGGGATGAGGACAATCCGCCAGACAGGACCGTCGTCATGGTCGGCAGTCCCCCGCAGCAGGCCGAGGAAACCGAAGCCCACGGCCCCAGCGACAGAGATGGTTCCCACAGGCGGACAGTGCTGTGGACAGACCCCCCTTCGAAGGAGGAAGCGGCCACCTGGACGCCGTGCGCGACGGCCCGCTCCCGGGCGGACATCGAAAAAGTCAGTGACAACAGGGACCTAAGAGGGACAGGGAGCAAACCAGACTGCCGTCAGGAGTCTATCCCTGAGCTCGCCGCGTCTGTGCGCGAGACCCGTCTGGCGCCCAGCCCTGGGCAGGACGGCAGCCCTGATAGACGGCCTCGCCCACAGGCAGATCCACTCCCACCCCCGCATCAAGACGACCCCTTGGGAGGGCTTCCCATGTACATGAGGTCCATCGACGAGGCTGATATCCAGAGAGACGAGCCAGCCGAAGAGAAGGTCATCAGACTGCAGAAGACGCTCGGAGGCGCATTCAACGGGGCGTGGACGGCTCGGGCCCGCAGGGCAGGCAGCCTGCAAGGTCTGCCTTGGGTCCGCATCCATTCGGACCCCAAGAGGAACACACTTCAGCTTTGCGAAGAATTTCTGCGGGCGTGGGAAGCAGCGGGCTACGACGCCTACAAGATGGTAAGGGACCACCAGCTCCGAGTGGAATGGCATAAGGTCATTGAGAA